TGCCCTTTTTACCGTTGGTCAAAAAAGTCCGTATCAGAATTGTTAACGTTGGTATGTGTAATATTATCGTCAAAATCCAAAGTTTTCTCGATATGCAGTACTACAAGACGAAGTTTTCAATGAAGTACAGAAAACATCGACCTCATACGTTCCTTATTTGTTTCCAATTAATCTACAAAAAAACTTTTAAACATTTCAACACATGTATATGTAAAAGACATACCCACATACACAAACTAAGGCATTATATCGGGATAATCAACTGTACGGATAGTTATTTCAGTAAATAGACAATCTGTTTAAGTATCGTTTTATTTCTTTTTAACATGAATGAAATCCGTGCATCTTTATTCCGCCCGATGGTCACTACATGTGCGCTACTGTATGAAGACAATTGCGGTATCCCGCTGTCAGTTCATACCGCCGATCATAGACGAAGAAATAGCACTTAACATTCAGTGAACATCTTGATCAACATAAGTAATCTGATTAAAAATCACTGACACGTGACATTAACAGCGGTGTTGAGTATTTCTTAAACGTTTAATGTTATAACTACCATACATAATACCATGTAACTTGTCAACGGTTCAGCAAAACGTTCGACTACAACACTTTATTTTCCCGTTTTTCTCGATTGACCTCGACATAGTTCTAATTAATTATTTTTGATTTATTGATAATCATTGATCAGTTCTACTTGATTTAGGTATATACCAAAATTGACGAAGCTTCTGTAAGTCTTATATTTATGTCGGCATTTCTTAAACTGACTTTAATCATGATTATATCAATTAAGTTAGCTAATTATTCGAAATGTACTGTATAGAATACACAGGTATTGATCAAGGCGTTTAAACACGGAAAATCCGGGATGACAAGCTTCCACAATACACATAAACAAAAATGTTCAGAGAAACAAGATTCGTGTCATTTGTTTAAATATAAACGAAGGCTGTTCCATACTACTAAAAACAAATTCTTTCTACCTTAGAAACAATAATACCCAGAAAAATGAGGTTAAAATGTATACATTATCCAAACTGTTTGGTACAGATACAACAAATTGTCTGGAAAAATACATCTTGCATTTCATTTTGAGTAACTTTAGAGTACAATTGAATTAAACCATAGTCATCAAAGCAAAAATACGTATATTTTGAATCAATCTTTACCAAGAGTTGTCGTTCCTTAATGCGTGTGTACATGAGAAGAGGTATGAATTTTTAATCCTACACATGAAACAGCAAGACCATTCAAAGGAATATACAGAAGGTAACATGACTCTCCCAAGAGATATTATGAGTTCTTTATGTTTGATTTTTTATACCCAAGGCCTCTCGATTTACTATACAGTTGCACGATATTTGGTACAGGAAAAAATAAATACACACATTCTCTGTGAAAATCGGATTACATATGAATATATTTCGTATAATCCATGTACGATAAAGTTAAAAGTCACTGCAACCATTTTTATTGATATCGAATGAGATAAAGAATGTAAACATTGCGGTCCAGATCTAATTCATACATTACCGCTCGTAACCCGCATGCGTATATGCCTAGAAAGAAGCAATATGGCGGACGACAATACGAAAAGGCGACGCTGACCTGAAAGTTACCTTACAGAAAGTGTCAGGAAGCGTAAGAGAAAGGAGTCAGACCAGAAAAGAGGACATGCAAGAATTTATATTAGATAGGAGACCGATAGATGACGAAAGATGAAGGGGGATCTTTGACTGAATACGGATTCGGAATTAGCGAAGCTGTAGCCGTATAATTATAACGTATCCATTGATTATAATCCATTATCCAGTGTTTGACGCGTGAATATGTTATGAACAACACTACTAAAAGTATTATCTGATAAATGTTGAATGGAAAATGTAGTTGTGTTATTCACTTGAATTTACTATCCACAACGTGTGTTTGTTGTTGACTGCAACGTGGGGCCCAACTGGGGGTATTCGTTCTAAGTGTAAAAATATGACGGTACTGATGATACTGTAAGAAAAACAATCGTGATGATAAACATAGCCTTCATAATAAACAGTGCAATATCTATTAATGTGTACAGACAAACTATCAATTCCTGTGCATTTCTGCACAAAGAGTTTTTTTTCTTTTCTGATTGTAGCTCATGCACCCTAATTGCCTTTGATAATGAAATAGTTGTCACATACCATTACACACAAATGCTCCTAAAATGATGATGATGATGATGATGATGATGATGTACGATGTTGACAAATTTTTTATGTATATATAGCGTAATAAATAGTAAAAAGACCTAATAACAATAATAGACATTTTTAAGCATTATAATAGGCAAACTGGGGTCGGTAAAATTATTATTATTATTATGTACGACAAAACTCCAGAATGTGTGCTGTATAATAGTATTGTTATCTAGTTATATTTATTGTTGTCTGACTGGGGAAACATGGCTACTAATTTCAACTGTATAATGTTCTTGTTTGGAAGGACACTCGTTGAAAGTACGACCCAGACACGAAACCGTTCGCTTTTAATTTTTTCTTCAGCGATACTTCAGAAGTATAATTAAGTCCGATATCATCGGCAATGACGTTCAATGCTGACGACATTTTGTTTGTCGGAGATGGTGAGAGTAGCCTCCCTTGATTTTCGGTAGGCGTGGTTATTTTTGCGTTGTCAATTGGACAATTCTCGCTCGACAAAGCCAAAGCAAAACGAATTACTAAGATTGATTGTAAGAGGTTGTATATTATTAAACTATAGAATCATTTACTGCAAACAAGAATTAGCAGAAAGGCACAAAAGCAAGTGTCATACATAAGACATGTACTTTTTTTACCTCGTAATCCATTTTTTCTTTGCGGCGGATGTAAATGACTTCGTCACGTGACAAGCCATGTGACCAAATCGGCTTTCTTCGTAATGAACGAGCGTGAACCTGTTGTTCCGACACCGAAAATATGTACAAAAACAACAAATTTGACGTTATAGGCGCGTGTATCGCTTCATTATGGATATATTTTATTATTCATAAGCCGAAGTGAAGAAGTTAAACATTTACACATGATAAGCTGCTTTTCAGAAAAAAAAATGATGTTAATACAGTGCAATATTACCTTTTCATTGTTCATGAGCTTGTAGTAGCAAGGGAAGTAACTCGAATAGAGTTGATATATCTATGCGATATGAGAAGAAAGCTCTAAAATTATCATTTCAGATCTCCCGCAGTTACTTCCCTTCGTTTCACGAAGTCAGGTCAGATTGTATGAAGATTAGCTTGACAGCTGATTGGGGCCGAGAATGAAAACGATCTGATAAATGAAAATAACGAAATTTATTTGATTATGTGGCTAGTGCACTTTCCCGTCTAGATTATGACTTTTCTTCCGATCACTATTGATTTTCCTCAGTCATATACTAGACTTCATATGTTAGGTCAGTGGCTTCTCTGAAGAGTCCTAGAGGGAGGAAACAATTGTATGATGCATTTTTTATTCATTATTTGCATCTTCCGTATCTTACTAATTTGTATTAAAAGGTGCTATTCACTTGTGTGTGTTGTGTGCGGTCTCAAATATGTTCTGAACGCTAGCAAACTATACATGTATAATGCATCTTAATCAGTTTGCGTTATATTGTCTCTGTTGGCGACGTATTCAGTTTCATTTTAGCCTCTTATAACTCATTATTAACCTGAAGTGCACTTACAGGAATTATAAATATATTCTAGATCACATGACAATGGTATGACGTCATTTTGGCGCCATAAAAAATGTTGTGCCATAAATTACGTCAACGCTTTGCAGGTTGTCTCAGAAAACACAATATAGCCGTAAAGCAATCATTTAGATTATTATGATTGTCAGGAAGCTATTCAAGTAAATACAGGAAAACACCTTCATAACTTGATTAATGATAAAATAATATCACAAGTGTTAACATAATAGTGGAGTTATTAAGACGCATTACAAATATAGTATTGTATATTGTATGAAGTCGTATGGACATAATTTTGTTTATTCCACATTTATCAACAGGATGAAATATGAATGGATTACAGAATTTTGAAATGTGTAACACTTTGGTTTGGCGCTTTAGGCTATCAGAACCATTTATTACAGTCATGTCCGTTTAGTACATTAAAAGAGTTCACTTTTGATGTCGTATTTCCAATTACAAGACATGTTTGACAGTTACTAAAATTCTCTGTATGATGTACGAAAAAGTCACCGTAACATTGACATAGATCTCAACATATCTTCCAATGACTACTCAAAACAAGACTATTTATAAACATTAATTTTAATACAGCATAATTCCAATCTATAATCACAATGTATATGTATCATTTATAGTTCTATATATATACATGACAAGTGATACTTTAGGGCGATCAACACATGGACAAATCCAAAATGAAATGCATGTTCTTCACGGTTGATGTTTTTTAACAAGACTAACTGAAAGAGACAGTCTGAAGGTAAAATGAGTTTCCTGATTTCGAGAAGCATTTCATAAATTCCAAATATGCTTTTCAATTGACTTTCCAAAGCGGACTTCAGCGAGGTTCATGCAAATGTATAATATGGAAAAACTTTTAATATTTCAGTTGTACGCATGCAGTTGTAATATGTTAACCATACGACACGCGATGATGCTGACACTATATCCGGATAATCTACAATATCAAGGGAATTAACCGATACTACAAATCAAATTCTAGCACATTATATTTCATAGGTGAATATGGTATTTAAAGATCATCCAAAATAAGGTGCAAATAACTTCGGTATGATAATTAGGAATGAAAAATCACATTTTAAAACGTGTTCTTCTTTTCCCTTAGTCTTATCTTTCTTTTTCATGTGATGAATTGCGGCAAATGAATATTTCTCTTGTCAATCTATGTTATGTATCTCCTATCACGTCAGACGATAGCAGAATAAGTTAAATGTCCTTTATTTATTCTAAATTTACGTCACACAACATAAGATTATTGACTAAAACACTATTCCCCGTTCTTTCATGAATGCTTGTAACTTCAGAGTGAGTTTAGGTCTTACTTCCTTAATATTTCTGGATGGCTTATGCAGTGATCCGATGCTATTGACGATTCCCTTGACGTCGGGAGGTTTTGCTGGTGACCCAGGCTTTCCATGATAGAAGGGGGATAAAGATCCTTCAAGCTGAGCATATCTTGGGTCGGATGTCACGCCCGGAACTTTTCCGCCATATTTGGAAAATTTGTTTCTTTTTACCCACGATTTGCTTGAGGAATCATCATCTGATCGAGGCGTTTGATTAAAAGATGTTCCACGCGAAAGTGGTCTGGAACCAAACTGGGACTTATCTCTGAGAGCTTTAAGTACTGCTTGTTGACTGTTGGTTCGGGCTGGAGTACTGGTTCGAGGCTGTGATAAATCCGATTGTTGTTTATTTAATGCTGTTGGTAGGAAGGACACGGTTTTAGACCTTGTCATCACGGGAGTTGTAGCATCCTCGACGTCTTGCGATGTGTCCTGTGTTCTACGTAACATTCGCGGATCAAGACTGAGCCTGGCTCTATCGACGTCATATTTGACTGGACGTGCGACGTCATTCGCTGACAGACTTCTGTGATGCGTCTGTAATTGTTGACGAGCAAGTGCCATCTTCTTTTTATATTTATCTGAAAACATTTTCATTTCGTAAGCATTCTTGCTCAGGTATTTATACCGTTCCTTCCCAATATCGAAAAGTCTAGATTTAAACATCCGTTCTTCTGTAACGTTTTCTGGAAGTTTGCCGATCCTTGAAGCAGCATCATTAAGTGACACGTCCTTCATGACCCACTCTTCAATTTCCTTCATGGCGTTGGACTTCTTGGCCAAAAGCCTCGAAGCCACCACTTTAGATTTAACTGGTTTTGGATGCATGGTGTCGGGTATTTGTCGACTTCACACAACGTGATGTTACACTGGTATCAGCCTCAAATCGGCCATTGAGATTGGGATCATCACTATCAGAAACCTGGAAGATGAAGTGAGATTTTAGATATTGTGTTTAGGTTAGAAACTAGCATTATTGATCGGCATATTGTGTACTATAGTTCGATTGTTTGCTAGCAGACAAACGTATTGTGGAACCTCGCGGTAAAAGATAGAACGACAAACACTGGGAATAATGGAATATGTAATTAATCAATACTATTACAGTGAGACAGACTTTAAACACACACTTCTTTTCATAATGTATCGTTTCTGGATTAATATGATCTAATAGATCTTTATGTAGAATTATCTCTCTTGCAAAGTTTTAATTTCTACTTCGGTACTATTTGAAATGTGGCGTTAGTTCCATAGTTCTGATTATAAACAATGATTTTTCGTTGTCATATACCTTTCAAACTTGTCATCTTTTCATTTTTTTTTTCTTTTTATAATTTTCATATATCTGATAATTTTAAAAGTACACCAAGTGCTTGTGTATATTTTGAACCGTGCCACTATTCCAGTAGCATGCAGGCTATAGCAATCCTAGGAGACTAGGAGATCACCAGCAGTGTCTACCACCTGCAATATTTGAGATTGTACAAAAGACGTACAAGTGAATAGCAACATGAAAACAAATCTAAAATTACATACAAGACTGCACAATGATGAAACAACTGCGTCATACAAATATTTCGTCCTTCTAGTACTCGTCAATATTGCTTGAGAGACGAGATGCACTAGCCTCATAGTTTGATGATAATTTTCATATATCTGATAACTTTAAAAAAGTCAAGTGTATTTATATACTTTGAACCTTGTCACTGTCCCAGTGTATTTATATACTTTGAACCTTGTCACTGTCCCAGTGTATTTATATACTTTGAACCTTGTCACTGTCCCAGTGTATTATATATGAACCTTGTCACTGTCCCAGTGTATTTATATAACCTTGTCACTGTCCCAGTGTATTTATATAGTGTACTGTCCCAGTTATTTATATACTTTGAACCTTGTCACTGTCCCAGTGTATTTATTATATACTTTGTATTTATATAACCTTGTCACTGTCCCAGTGTATTTATATACTTTGAACCTTGTCACTGTCCCAGTGTATTTATATACTTTGAACCTTGTCACTGTCCCAGTGTATTTATATACTTTGAACCTTGTCACTGTCCCAGTGTATTTATATACTTTGAACCTTGTCACTGTCCCAGTGTATTTATATACTTTGAACCTTGTCACTGTCCCAGTGAATTTAAAAGTGTCAATCTGCAAGGTTATGGCAAATTTGTCTAAAAAATGAATAGCACGTTTAAATACAAATTCCTAATTAGACACAGTAGATGTGTATTCATCTGTTTGTCCTTTGTACATAATTGAAATGAAAGGGATAGTATGTATGGAACTAGTATACCGAAACAAACCTGTTTTAGCCATTTGAGAAACGATCAGTAAATGGTACTTTTATCGTAAAAACTGAAGACTGTTTTGTAAAGGTATTATTCAAATGTCAGAACGATCTGTTCTTTAACATAGGCGACTACACGAGACATAGTGTACTGATTTTATCCTACTTTTAACTCATTTTTACACGTAGAATAAATGGGTTTAAAATAATTCGCTCTACGTTTTCGACCTGTTTTTTCACACATTCAATATGATTTAAGCCAAACACACACTCAAGAATTATATGAATGAATGTATGGAAATGAATGAAAAAGACAAGGAAAGGAATGCAGTAAATAATAGACATAACACTTCATTGACGATCATTATGTCAGATGCTATCTATTCCTATGTAGAATATTTTGATACATATTGTTAGTATGTTTTATTATCTAAACTTGCGTACATGTCCGAGATGTACTAATGCCATACACGTGATTGTATACAGTCATAAATTATATACATATGTACGTAACTACAGTATTTAATGGGGGCCGAAATAGGATGTATTGAACAAAGCAAATGCCACCCATGGAACTTGGTTATTTATCGAATACACCATTGAAAAATATTGAAAAGGTATTTTTATCTTTTAAATCAGTATAGAATTTATGAATTTGTCAATTTTTGTTGTATTTCACATTGATATACTATTGTACATGAATTCGCTATTGTTTACTAAACGTAACTATGCAGGTATCTGTACTAGTCAAAACAATGGAACCCGTATTTCAGTATATAACTAACATAGTTTAAATACTAAGATTATATTGATTGATTTCACCTGTAATGATTAAACTTACTTACCTGTCGTTGTTGCTAGGGTTATTTTCCTCCGTCAAACTATGTCTGGAAGTATCTGCTACTTTTGATAAGGCAGTGCCATATCATATATGATTGTATTTGTCCAAACTGATTAAAAGTCAGTAATGAATTGCACGGACACTTCATATTAAATTGATATCAAATAAGAGACGCGAATCATTGCTTATGTGTGACCTCTAACAGCCCTCCTTCCGCTGCCTCTGACTGAAACACAAACAAAGCCAATGACACGATCCTTTTGTTACCAGTTAAAGCAAGCATCACGCTCGAGCACGCGAGAACACAACAAACATAAGAACAATACTGATATATAACTTACAATTGCCTTTTTGAGTGCGACAAGAGACGCTTAACAATCAACGATTGTTCAGAGTCAATTCTAAACCTACCGGGTCATTTGATATTTTAGATCAGAACGTTTTTATCAAGATTGTCATTTTAAAGAATCATTTTTAATGAAGGATTTTATCTGATGATACGTCATGATTTCGAAGTTTAGGAATTCAAAAACAAACTGTGTGGGTTCTTTTGAATATGTATTGCGCAAAACAAAAAATCCTATTTACATATATGATACACTCCTGAAGAACATTACTTAATGTAGCTTTAACAGGTGTTTGGGTTATTTAAAATCAGATAACTGACCTTAAGCTACATTACTCATAACTATCTGTCTGACAGAGGTGATGCAATGATATGCATTATTGCACAAGAGATAGAAATCCATATATTGACAACTAACCATTCTGCTCTACTATTGTGACGTTTATATGTCACACATTGTTCAACATTTATCAAGCTCCCTACATCATCTACATATACCATGTGCTATACGGATGACAATTGGATTAGTACGCATTTCAAATGAAATTTTGTTGTTTTTTTTTCTACATCATTACGCATGTAATGATACAAATGAAGATTACTGGAAACTGAAGTCAATGATAATAAAAGAACGAATGCATTTGACATATTTTACAATTTTTTGTTACAAAAAATATGCAATAAATGCGTACAAAATATAGATTCGTTAATACGTAGCTTGTGAATGTGCTGCTTATTTAAAAAAAACTCTCTCTTTTTTTTGGTCTAAATGAGATCTCAAAGAGGAAGCAAAATTAGAAAAGCAGATTTGGTTTTCATATTCTAGTAGGACTTTGATGAAGATAGAGGTTAAATATCTATCATGCTCAGACGTTTGTACTTTAATTTCCTTAAGACTATCTTGTTTTATTTTATTATTTATAGGTTTGGCCCTTTGCAGAGCCAATATATCGCTGATCTAAAACAATTGAGTATATTTGGATTCCATTACCCTTCTGACCATTTCTGTCAAATTAAATCAATTCTGGTTCAAAAGGTTTGAAGAAGTCATTAGAATAATATTTCGCTGATGAGATGCAAATTTGATATTGTCAGCGATTTTTTGTTGAACTGATACTCGTTTCCATATTCACATTTATAAATAGTATCACCGTGAACAGTGAAAATCAGTCTCCACTGAAAATAAATATATTTACAGTATTGATGGATATGTTAGGGAATCAGTGGCATTTTTATGGGTGTGTTTTATTTTTTAATTGTTTAATGTTTTATAGAAACTTCATACTACACTATGGAAGTATATAGTTTAATCAAGTTTTGTTAACTTGATGCTTATTGAAATATATATACATTTGTATCTCTCTTAAAAAACGAGAAGCTAAGGTAATTTGGTTAGATTGCTATGATGCTTCAGTTTTAAAAGAGGTACTTTTTCGTCAAGTTAACTGAACGTATACCGTGTCAGTTTCTACGTCCTCATTCGATACATATGTACTAGACTGCATCTCTAACTTAGAACTGTTATCATAATAAATGATCTAGTGTTTTTAATAATCACTGAATCATTGAAGAGAAAGATCAGTTATAATATCTCATTAATACTAACGATATTTTGATAAGTTTACAAAAATATGTCTTCTGTTTGATTACACTTAGAATCATGACCGAATTTAAACATTTTTGATGTGCAATATGTTGTGAGCATATTATATAAAATTGTAAAGTAAATTTGTATTTCTTGTGATGATATTATTTCTGATTTTGTCAGTAAAGAACTGTTTAACCTTTGAGCATTTTTTACACAGCAATTACCTGGGATTTTTGAAACTTACGTGTCATTGAGATAGTGTTGGGGTTTTTATGAATATAACAAGATAATCCAATGCTAAGAGAGTCAATTGGATTCTAGATTTTCACATTTTACAAAGACCAGAATACAGTATTACAAATGTAAAAATAAAACCATAATTCTCTACAACCAACTGAAAATCGGTGACATTAAAACAAATTATTTAATGTAAACCCTTTATATTAAAAGGGAAGACAGGCTGTTTTGACGGCATCTGCCATTTTCAAATTTAGGCTTATTTTTTCAAAGATTTTTTATTTGATATAATACATATCAATAAGACAAATACAAAGCACTCAAACCATCATATTAATTCATATCATATCATGTAAATGCATATGCCATTTTACTATAAAATAAAAGCCAGATAATGTTAGGTCCTCAAAGTAGGAACCAAAAACAATTTCGATTATCATAATAAAAAGGGGTTTTGTTTTATAGCACAACACATGCAATAAAGATGATACTGAATAGATTCTTTGTGGTAATGCTACCA